ACCAGTCCTTCATCACCTTAGACGAAATAGGGTGAATACATCTCATTACACTGATTTACTGGTAGTCTCTCAACTCTGCTCCAATAAGAAAATGACTTGCCAGGGCATCTGTGCCCAGGCAAAATGACTTTCCATGCTAATGGCGAAGAATTTTGACCTACAAAGGATACATCCAAGTTAGAGCCAGACGCCAATTCGTGCTGTTGCGGTGGGGTTGAAACATTGGCCTTCTTTGATATGAAAAGAGGCTGGGTTTCGAAGAATCCCTTTTTAAATTGATACTGGCGTACCTTTCATTTCGTTTGAGAAGGTGGGTCGAAGGGATTCGTAGATTGGCTTCATCGGATACCGAAGGACTTTTGTCTGTTGAATTGTGCGAAGAAGAAGTCAGCTCCGCGTCCTACGACTCCGATGACTCAGTGCTGTAATTTCGTCTGCCATGTGGCGGACATCGTCAGAGCCAGAAACCATTATTCACGAAAAATCACCAAACAACTAACTAGGATATCTAAAAAGGGTAACTTATTGTCTTCTTCTAACACCATAGTGAATTTAGTCGCCATATCTACTCTATTCATTGAGCAGAAGAAGTCATTCAAACACTCTTTGCCATTCTGCCTCATTAAGATCGTAAAGTGAGGTATAAGAAGTAAGTAGGGTCATAGCTGGCCACCCTTTTTCGATTTAGTGGTTTTTGGTGATTTTCCTTGAATAATGGTTTCCGGCTCCGACTATGTCCGCCACAGGATGGTCGAAAGGTCGATTTGGAGTCATCGGGGTCTGAAGACGGTGAGCCGAGGTCTGCTTCGCTCAATGCTCATTCTTTATGTGATTTTATTCCAGTGGACCGAGCTTAATCCAGAACTGTAATTCTTGGAGAAAAAGAGAGGTGAGATGTAGTGAGAGTAAGGGCAGCAAAGTTGCGTCAAAATGAGACTTCTCAAGTGCCAAACGACCAGTTCCCAGATCAACTGGTGAGGCGTTACTGAAGATCCTTTTCGATGCTACCGCTCTACCATTGATCTTAACATAATATTTGCGCATAATCATTCTAAATAGATCAGATTTATAAGGTCATCTTAGAACGAGGCTGATCTCTTACTCTGTAGCCCGTTGATTAATCTTGGTCAATATTTTATAATGTAACCTTTCCAAACCTTCCCTCTACAAAGGTACCATGAGCATAGCAACTGTATTAATGATGTGTATAGGGGCCAGGCTATCTTAAATCTACACCCTATTTGGCTCAAAACGGTTTTCTGCTCTCTCTTTCCGAGCTACATTGTTTGTAATCCCTTTCCAAACTTTCTTTAATGGGCCATTTTTGTGCCTTCCTGCGAAAATGAATGCATTATCAAGTCTTTACTACTCCCATTTTGTCTTTTTTCTCACAACAAATTGAAAGCATATTCATCTGAATACAATGACTTCGAGGCAAATGGCCACTTTGGAATGCCCCGGCCAGGTACCAAATGGATTGCGCGGTCATTGGACTGCTGCGGCCAGGAGTTCTCGCAACATAAGGATTCATCTACATTCTCGGTAAGCAATCTGACCCAGCCGACTTTTGCCGGCCTAATTTGAGTGACTGCTAGCGCAGATCAAATCATTTCGCAGCTAATCCGCCTCATTAGTCAAGCTAACATCTCTCGAAGATGCCCTCCAGTTTTTCGGTGTCTTAGGTTTCGGTGCTTGGAAGACCGGAGCTGAATAGAAGAGGGGCTAGATTTTGCCAATTAATTTGCCCGTAAGTTGTACTATGGCATTAATTTATTCCCCTCTACCATTGTAAAATTATAGATGTTATAGTACCATAACAAAGCTAGTGTCACCGCGTTTTATGAAAAACGAATCATTGTATAAGTTATCTATATGAGATGATTCACTGGTAGTAGAATTTTCCCACATTTTATTTCACATAGCCTTGTTTTCCTAAAGGTTGTTCTCATCCAGGCACCAGTGGACTGCAGTTTCGACCTTACCTCAACTGGTCTTATCACCATCCCCAGAGGGAGTCGAACCGTGACTCATATAACTGATTTACTGGTAGTCTCGAAATTCTACTTATATATTAAAAAATAAGTAGTGGAGTCGATTGTTATAGCAAATATACGTTTGCTTCGCCGTCAATCCCACCAAAGAAGGTGATATGGGAAAAGGCCCGGCCTTCATTTAAATGCACACCTTCCCTGTGACCCAAAGGCACTCGTGGCAGTGTGGCCGAGTGGCCAACGTGTTAAGCTCACATTCTGAAATATCACGTTTCGAATCTTCCTGGGGGTGTTGATAAGACCAGTTGCTACGAGGTCGAAACTGCAGTCGGCTGTTGCCTGAATGAGAAGAACCCTTGGGAAAGCAAAGCTATGTGAAATTCAATGGAAACGTCAGCTCCACTCATATGATTGTGGGAAACTTCGACTACCAGTCCTTCATAATCTTAAACGAAATAGGGTGAATACATCTCATACTACTGATTTACTGGTAGTCTCGAAACTCTACTCTACTTATCCCTAGTCGACGAAGGACCTGGTTTTGTTTCGTCGTCATGACTGTTTAGAACCGATTTACATATATATACCATAATATTGTGGGAAAACTGTTTGCATCACACAAGCTTGGATCCTGTCTGTGGGTTGTGGAGGCCTGGTAATAGAAAAATTCTGAGGGCACACTCCGATTGAGCAAGCTACTTTATAATAAAGAGTGATAAATCAGGAACCAGCTTAATTATCAAAATTTGATAAATATTTAATGTCTTCTTCTTCCTTGCTGTCATGAAAATGCCCCAATGCAATCAAGTAAACCTTGAATGCTACTTCGATGACATCAACAAGACTTTATTCTGAGTACTCTATCTCAAGAGGTCTCAAGTGATCCTTCAGCTTCCCCTCAGAATTGGCCAAATCGAGCCTGACCCAGAGTTTATCCCCATTCGGCAGCGAACCAGCAGACTCTAGGAGCTTATTCTGATTGAGCAGCTGCGGGGCAGAAATATTTTCTCTGAATGATCCCTTATTTCTCGCAATGATTATAAATAATTCTCACCTTTTATTCGTTTGTTTGCATGCAGTTAGTGCAATGCAATATGGACAATGACTCCTCATGTGGCGACGAACACGAGGATAAACTTCAGGAGATTTCGTGTCCAAATATTGTCATCTATGCGCCTGACGATGAGTGCTCTCCGAACAGGGGACCTAACGGTGCCAAAGAACGTCAAACTGATTCTCATGGCATAAGCCCTATTCCAGCTCAACCACCCGAAATTATTTTTGGTAGCACTGCTACTCAGTCTCAGATTTTTGCCCCAACGACGATGAAGAAAAAGCAGAAACGTAAATATTATGACTTTTGCTCAACGGAGTCCATTGAATGCCCTAGGAATCACATTAACACACTGTTGGAATGTTTTGAGGAGGACCAAATACCTACTCGTCTTTCTTCCATTGGGCTACAATCGCCACTGATAAAAAATGAGATCTGCCCAAGGCTACAGAATGTGGATAGCAAATGTACATATGCATGGAAAGGTAGGTTGTCTCCAAACAGCAAAATTTATGATTATCTTGCAGAGATTTGGAGAGATAATTTGGCGAATGTGTTAGGATGGTAAAGCATTTATGAGAGTTCATCAACGCTGCTGAGCGGTAATCCTTCTGGAATAGTATAAAACAACAAAAACATTTATATAAGTGGGTTGAAA